GCAACTTCCTGGCTATTGGAGAGCAGGATGGCAAACATACTTCCCACTGACTTTCCAAATTTTGTCCCATATGGTTTTGGAACTAGTGGTAGAAGAGATGCGAGTAGTGAACTTAATCCAAGACTCCTTTTGGCTTTGATGTTGAACCTACCAAGTGTGGGCATGGGTCCGCTGATAACCTATGTGGTTAGAAAGAGAGGGATACCATTGGAAGGTATCCAAGGCCCATTTTTGAGTCTTACGTGCCTCTTGGCAGGCAGAACTCCACCATGGAAAACGTGTTGAGGTCTTAGGAATAAAGTGAGCAGCTGCCTGGATGATACAGTCAGTCACTGCTATGACACAGTTGTCTATTGATGGCAGACAGACAATGGCAGGATTAAGTTTGGAGAGAGCAGTGAAAGAGGGCCAGTCAGCCTGGTTCAACGTCTACCATGGCACTCAGGTTGGGTGGCATCGATGACGGGCCAACCTCCCTCAAAATGATAGGAAAACTATTACTGCTCTGTGGGTCACTGTCAACCATCCAAGAAAAGTGAAGGGGAGCAGATCAAGAGAACAATGGTAGTGAAAGACTGACTAAGTGCATGAAGATGTAAGTGTAAGATTCAGTGTTAAATAGAGAAAAGTTGTGATCCAAGAGCATACGCTCTATGGAATGACTCCTCACATCAATATCAGCACCACCCCAGAGGGGATTGTCTCCATTAAAGTCTCTCAGAATTAAAAAGGGAGATGGCAACAGTTCAACGAGGGCATCAAGGTCCGATTGATCATAAGTCTCTTCAGGAGACATGTAGAGAGAATAAACATTGATGGTAAGACCCAAGAAAACATGGATGGGTACAGCCTCCAAGAATGTATTGAGTGACACAGATAAGAAGGGCACATGCTGGTCAACCAGCAATGCCACCCCTCCATGCTCTTGTCCATCACACAACCTGTCATTCTGGTACAAAGAAAACAGCTGAAAGGTGACTGTATTGGCAGGTTTCACAAATGTTTCCTGTAAGGAGAGACAAACTGGATGATAGGAATCAATCAAGGCCTTAATGCTATAGAGATTAGAACGAAAACCTCATCAGTATCAAAGTGGACATTTCTATTTAGGTGGAGGAGAACTGGGCGGAGAACCCTTTGCTTTACGACCATACTGTTTTTCTTTACTAGAAGGAGGTCTATCGACTTCCATGGATCCTGCTCTTGGTTGGGTGGGCAGATCTCTGTCATCAGACTTAGAATCCAGTGATTGAGGACATGATCAAATGATCGTCCTGCATCTCAGGGCAAAAGAAGAAGGACCTGAGCAGCGACCAGTGCCATAGGAGGTGGATCCAGGCAGTCACTGTAAGGAATGGTGGGGACAGAGATTGGACTAGACATAGACTGGTCAATTCTGTTATCCACTGAGGGTAGAAGACCCCTCACATGACGTGAAAAAGATTCAGATGGAGGTACAGAAAGGTCCGTCTGCACTCCCAGCATAGCAGTGGAGCATAGTGCAGTGGCATATGTCCAAGATGGAGTAGGGAACAATAGCTTCCAAGCTTCGGGGTAAGAAATGTTATTAACAGTCTTCAAACGCTGTACCTCTTTCTCTTCCACCCAATTAGGGCAAGATGTATTGTAATAGGGGTGAGAACCACTACAATTAACACAGTTAGGGTTCAATTTGCACTCGTAGATTTTGTAGTCCTTGCCATCACAATGAGCACACATCACAGAACCATGACAAGATGCCTCCGAATGACCGAACTGCTGGCACTGGAAACATTGGAGAGGGTTGGGAACATATGGCCATACCTTACAGTTCAAATAACTTGCCTTGACTGTCAATTTGATAAGTTAAGTTTATGCCCTGTTTCTTCACTACATTGACATATAAAGGAAGCACAGGGGTTACTCAACTTATTTTGTTTTTATGGAAATTCTCATATGCTCATTGGCTGTAACTAGTAGATGGCATTTGGTTTTGCCAACATAGGAGGCCTTACAGTCTCCACATGTGTAAAGATATACAAGGCATGAACAAAGATAAGATTGGGAGGAGGTCTTTAGTAAGGAAAAAATCCTGTATGCTTGATGTGGGTTTAAAAACTAATCTGAAATCAACTTGGGAGTAGTAACGATAAATTATGCATTTAATTTGACTTTTTAAGGTTACGCTTTATTTACCTAGGTATGGAAGACAAGAGATATAATAAGTTTGGGTATGGTTGGTAGTCTGGGTAGTAATTAGTGAGTTTCTTAGTTAGAAAGGTATTAGTAATTTTTTTAAATAAATATTGTGTTTTGCCATTTCACTTTAGAATATCCTGTATGAGAGAAATTTCCATGTAAAATAAGATCTGTTTAATAATCATGTTACAAGATTTCTTTTGAATGTGAGCAAGATAAAGCTGTCAAATTGTGTAAGGAGTCCAGTAAATGTAACACTAGTGGATTTAGTACATCAGTATACATTTTTCATTTATCTTAAGTCTTTGCAGTTTTGGCATAACATGTGGTCAAGAAAACCATTAATTTGACTTATTTCTAGCTACCTTTGTTTCTTTTCTAGAGATAATACTGCTTTTCATACAGGGGATATTGATATGATGCCACATTTTGCAAGAAGATCAATGACAGCAGCATCCTTCAATGGTAGAGAAGATGATATCTTAAGGTTACAGCCTACAGATTTGATTTAATAAGAAGGACCCTATTGCTATGGGTATATACAACATTTCCAGTTGAGAAAGAAATGTTAGATTTAAACATTACTCCACAGGGTCTCAAGTGAGTCTGTTGATGGGAAGCCATTTTGGGGGAAGAAAAATCTGTTGAGATATTTACAATTCCAATAGCAGGTTACCATCCAATGTCAAGAAAACAAGTAGACACACTGCAATTGTCCATTTGTTTTAAATAAAAATTGCTTTCATACTACATGATACCGTATCCAAGTATTTTATTTCTTAGCTTCAACTCAGCTAGTTCAGTTAAATTCAGACTTACTTCATAAGTTGCACTGCTGATCATTCCATTATAAAACGAACTTATCTAACACTCATTTATGAAATCAGTTAACTTGAGAATATTATAACTTTTCCTCTTACAATTTCCAGATTTCTATAGCTAATAAAATCATACATGTAATATCTGAAAACTGGGATTTTCTTTCTTGCAATCTCTCTTCTTCCTTATAATGACTGTAAATTTCTAAACTTTTAGCTGTTACAGCAGAAGCCTACCACTGATACAATTTACCTCCCCTACCTGCAAAATTTCAGTAAAAAACTCAAACGCATAGCAAAAAACTTCAACGTAGAGTCTAGTGAAAACCCTACAAAACATTAAGATCCATTCTGTTGAAAAACAAACAGAAATCTACCAATGAGAAATTCCATGTTCCTGTAAAGAAACATACATTGGATAAAAGGAAAGAAGATTCACGGCAAGAATAAAAGAACATAAAGACAAGTCTCATGAAAACACAAAATTCAGCCATTGCAGAATACACCATGACAACTGGAAACAAAATAAATTGGGAAAAAACTAGAACCATTGACACAGATGAATATTGGAAGACAAGAAAAATTACACAATCCTTTTATATTAACACAATACAACCTTCACTAAACAGTCATTCGGGATTAGAGGTGAGTAACATGGGGCTATCATTGGTTGAATCTACAGGACGTTTTTTCCACCAATCAGTAACAGAAATAAACCAACCAATCATAATACAATCAATGCTATAAAGACTGAAAACTCCATACATACGCTGACCTGAAAACGAAAGGTGGATGACTTTCGAAATGTCATCCTCTACACTTGTTTTTCTATAACAGTCAGTTGCCATCCATTCAACTAAATTTCATCATGAATACTCTGCTTAAGACAAACTACCAAACAATGCTTTCTTGTTTACTTTGTAGAAACAATTAACTTTGATAGTTCCTTTTCACCTTAAAAAGACTTGAAACAAATATGGCGGACTTTGCTTCAGCATGAGCTAGCAGGGGTCTATTTGAAACAGCTGCATATAATTTATAAAATGATTACATAAGTAACTTTCACAGATAAGATACAGTGAAATATATTGTTACGACAGCGGAAATCACGTGAAGTTGGGAGCATGCACGCTGGAGTTTCTAGAGGGATCATGACTTATTGAGGAACTCCATGAATATCCAAGTGTTTGCCAGGCACCCTCTTTTTTAGTATATAAGCCTGGCAGATAAAGCCTGCGGAATGACTGATTGAAGAGATATAGATAGATATTGAAGTGATAGATAATTGAGTCAAGCGAACAGTAGGCACCCTAAGTAAAGTGTGTGAATCACTGTGATTTATAGCGTGTATTATAAAAGTTGTTAAGTTTAAAGTGACTGTGGAAATTCAGTATATTACAAAGTTGTATCAAGAAAGAATAAACTAGTTTTAATCAAGAAAGGGCTTGTATTGCTGAAGTTCCTCGGAAAGAATTTATACCGGAAATTAACAAACAAGCAGATACATAACAATATACTATATATTACATTAGTTGTCATGATATACATTTTATTGTAAAATTTCTTTCAAGAAAGTGTTAAAGGTATTGCCTACTTCAGAAAAAGCCTTTTGTAAAGCTATCCATGTAGCATATGTAGTTTGAGTTTACAGTGTCACCATATATGGAAATAGAACATACTATATACATATTAAAGCTTTCATTTTTTAAAAATACTTCTACCTATAATGATTATGCAAAAGAACTAGGTGTATTACTTTAAAAGAGTCGTTTTACATTTTTAAAGCAATTAAGTGGATTGCCTTTACCTATTATTGTCTTACACTATTTGATAGGGTTGTTGTTTTTATTATTATCTTATGCTATTATATTCACTATTTGAGTAGGTTGTCTTTTCCTATTATCATTATGCTATTTATTTCCATTGTTTGAGAGTATTGTCTTTTCCTGTTATTGTCTTACACTATTTCTTGACACTATTGTGAGAAGGTTGCTCTCAACTTACTTCTCCATGGCTCTCATATTAGGTGCCTGTATTCTCTGAAGATGAGTCTCCATATCAGAAATTTCTTTTTGAAGATGATCACCTTCTTTTTTAACTTCTTCATGAGAGTCTAACTAAACAAAGAATAACAGTTTTAAGTAATTTAGATAAATTAATGTATAGCAAAACATCTGCATTTTCTGATTATAAATCTCTATATATATATATAATACAAGCATACTCAATCCATACCTGAACAGATTACAGTTTAAATAAAAACCAACATGGAGTTCATACACTTATTAAGACAAGAAATTTATATAAGAACTTTTCCAAAATGTTTAAATACTAACACCTAATTTCAAAAATCTAAGATTAGATAGTACATTGATACCACTTTTTGTATGATATTAATTTGCATGAATCAATGACAAGAAGAACACTAACACAGTTGAGAGCACAAAACAGGATACACAACAGATATGATCACATAATGAAAAGAGCATTGTCTGGTTTATATATGTATATACAACCAGACTGTCTTTCATCTTAATGCCCTATATGTTAGAAAGGAAGAATATCTGCCTATTCTGCATAAAGTCTTTTACGTTAATGTTGAACAAGCAGACTATCTACCAAGTCTACATACAGATATTTACGTTAATGTTTTATCTGTTGAACAAGTACTTTATCTACTAACACTATATACAGTCTTTTAGCTTAATACTATGGCATGCAGACATACAATGTGTTTCCTACCTCTTAGATAATATTTAATTTCTTGACAATTTCTTTACACATTGTTTGTAATCTTACTAATGGATGTCAGTCAAGGGAGTCACTAGGTTCCTCTTGCCTTATTTACTCATGGAACTAGATCATTCAACTAGGATGTCACATGCATTTTCTTATGGGAAAGATTCCTGTAGTGTGGAACATACTGAGAGACAATGATATATTCTATTGGTAAGTGATGACTTAAAGATACAACCTTCCTTATTTTGTAGTGAGAGGGACCATCACTCACGTAGGTAGCACGTGCACTCTGAGAAATATGGCACTACTGTTATTAATATATAATGTCATATTTTCTCAGTCTGGAACAAGATGATTTGAGAATTTTGCAGACATTGATTTGTTTTCAATACAATTAGACTCTCCAATAATAACATCTCAATATAACTAGCCTGTAAACTTTGATTGTGTTTGTGCCTAAATAAAGATTATTTCACTGTGTTATAAAGAATTTTTACTAAAGATTTGTCTGTGAATTTATCGAGTTAGTCTGTCCCAGAATGTGACTAGTTTGAGTACAATGTAATTTTCATGCTAAAAATAAAAATACTTATTTTTATATCACAGTTTTCATATTTTGTTTGCATAACCTCTTGAACCTCCTAAATGAATATCAATATCAAAAGTTCATTTCAGTAAAACTTTATATTTTATCTGTAATTATCTTTACCTCAATACTAACTATAGCAACATCAGCACTGTAGGGTAAGATAAAAAGTTGAAAAATTGAAAATAAATTTATATTACCACCTTCTTTTTTTTTACTTTCTTGAATGACTGCATATTGTAATAGACAATTATAAACTATTTACTTTTACAGCCAAAGCTAATCACCTTTTAAATCTTGATTCATTTAACTTTATTGCTTTATAATTGCACTTAGACCCTCTCAGAAAAGCTACTTATGACAGCCTGACTCCTTTATGTAAACATATGACTAAATTAAAAGCAAGTTGCATCGAATTACAATCATGTGTAAATTTTTTTTTCATTTAAGTTTTTCGAGCTAACCTATTAAGTTTCTGATTTTTATGTTTTAGCTACTTTTAATAACAATAGTTAAAAAATATACATAAAGAAACAAGAAATTTAGTACTCACATTTAAAAACTCTTGTCTTTTTGCCATTGGAAGATGAAACACTGTAAGCCTACTTTTTTGTTATGATGTTAGTGTTTAAAAATATAATTTGATTACAGTTACACAATCTAGAACACAAAGTATTATCAAGCACAAAAAATAGAATTTCCTAAAACTACAATAATCTAACTGGCTTTATAAATAACTTATATAAAATGGGTTAGAAATTATGTTAAGTGGTTGAGACAAACCCTACAAGGAAACTGAAGCAAAATATTTCCAAACCTGGCACACAATTGAACTAGCATCAAAAAGAAATTTGTTCAAGCAAAATCTTCTCTTTTCATTGGTTATAAATAATCCAATAGCAAGTATCAGAAAGAATTACAAGAAGTTTTTTGAAAAATAGGGTGTAATAGGAGGAGTATGGAATATGAGTTTGACTGTCTTGTAAAGCAGGAAGCTTGGAGGCTCTAAATTTAAATTATGGCTTATTAATATCTATACTATAAGTGAGCAATTTGTGTCAAACTCACATCATATAAGGGTAGCAAGAAAATCTAAAATGGGAATTCAAAGAGAAGTATTGTCACGTGATACAGAGAATTGAAGAATACAAATTTATTCAAATATTTCATTTTGAAATTAAAACTTATATAATATTAAAACATGAAATACAAATTGTGTTTTGATGGTGAGTTTGTCAACACATATTGATAATAAACTTGTTTAATAATTTAATTTTGAATGTAATTCTGTAAAATAAGTCATGAAATGCCCACTATGACCTCCCCCCCTTCTGTCATACACACAGAATTATTACTTTACCTGTTGAACAAGTGGACCATCTGATAACTTTACATACAATCAGATTATTACTTTTGATTTTTTTACCTGTTGCACAAGTAATTATTTACATACAATCAAACTGTTTTTTAGAAGAAAGTTTTGGTTTTATAAACATTTAATTTTAACAAAATGTAAGAAAATCATCAGCAAAATGTTTCTAAAAAAGCATATAAGTTAAAGAACATAGCTTAAATGATCTTATAATTACATAACACCTCTGCTGCGATTTAAAAAAACTACTTGACAGCCCCACAATATAACCTGAGCACACTTTTACATGTTTGTAAGATAATGTCTGATAAATATAAATACTCAGTGAAATACTCCAAAATGATTTTGGATTTTCTCAGTGATTAAAAATAATAACTTTCTTAATGTAAGTGCTGGGTTCTCTTCCCCCTCTGAGAATCACATGTAAAATATTAAAAACTGAAATGAATTAATTTGAAACTCTTAGACTCTTGAACTAATTTTGCATACAAGCTGTTTTTTTACAGTTTTTTGGTAAAACAAACCAGATTAAAAAAAAAACTGGTATTATTGGCTTTTCAATGTATCTATTCATTATTCAAGGATGGTAGTTTCAACTAAATTCTGATGACAGCAGTTTAATTGCCCTTGTCTCTCAAAGCTTACAGTTCAAGACTATCTTATCCCCAAACATTGATTTGGAAACTTTTTTCTCACAAAACTGTTTGGGCAAAGCTTGAACATTGTGAACAGCTTAAATTACAGATATCTGTGAGATTAACAATGGTCACACTATGTGCTGTCATAATTAGTGGGGTGTTTAATTATACACTCGATTCTTAAAATCATGTGTAAGTTTTTCTTATGCTAGTGAAGGTCAGTAATTTATCAATTAATCACCTTTACTATAAGTTACCATTTTCAAGGTCTTTTGAAAAGCTTTGGCGGTAGAATTTACACTGTTCAAGGCTTTGATTAAACAAAAAAATGTCAGATTTTTTGTACTTTCAATGTTTTCAAAAGCCTCTACATAACATGCAACAAAAACATTATCTAATCTATTCCTGCATGGGTTTCACTACAATTTTTGTGGGGAAAGAGTTACTTAATAAAAATTATGAGAAACAGCACATTAGCAAGCCAAAAACAACAAAAAACTCAATGAACATACTATCATTTAGAGATTCATAAATGTATTCTTAATTGTTAAATCTAAACTGTGTGATTAGGAAAACACTAACATCTTTCAGCTCATCTGCCAAATCAATGTAGTCAATCTGGATTTTTGTTTCCTTTTCATAGATTCTCTGTGTATTATGACTCCCAGAGATATCTGTAGATTCATCCTGCTGTGATGCATCTTGGTCAATGTCCTTCATACTTCCTCTCTTCATGGGAATGATAATGTCTTCAAGCTAAAAAGCATAAACACCCTTTTATATAACATTATCTAACTGGCACCATTTCAAGTCACAGATAAAATAATACATTTGGAATATTAAAACTGTCTATAATATACTACATTTTGATAAATAAAAATAGTCCTTGAATCGTCTTAATGTATACTCTTTCTATCCTATCAGAAAGTACCTTTTTTCTACTCTAGCAGAGCCTGTGTTAGTCAAGCAGTACTTACTGTCTACTCTACATGAACTTGTGTTGATCAGAAAGTACCTTTTTTCTATCCTACCAAAGCTTATGATGACAAAACAATATTTTTTCTCTACCCTACAATAGCTTGTGTTTACTAGACAGTACTTTCTTTCTATACTACCAGAGTCTATTTTGATCAACCAGAATTGTGTGGATCAGATAGTATCTTTTCTATATTCTAACACAACCCGTGTTTATGAGACAGTACCTTTTCTCCAGAAGCTTATGTTGATCAAACAATATTTCTTCTCTATCCTACAAAAGCTTCAGTTAGTCAGACAGTACCTTTTCTCTATCCCATCAAATCTTGTGTCGATTTGACAGTACTTTCTGTCCATTCTACCAGAGCCTGTGTTGATCAGACAGTGCCTTTTCTCTATCCCATCATATCTTGTGTCGATTTGACAGTACTTTCTGTCCATTCTACCAGAGCCTGTGTTGATCAGACAGTGCCTTTTTTCTATCTTACCAGAGCTTTGTAGTGCCAGTATTTGTAAAAGTTGAAATATTCTATATTTACCATGGTTTATATAATAAATGTTGAAAATTACATTAATTACTATTGAATAAGTACAGTAAAGCCAGTATTGTTATGCTTATTATTATTCTTTTCAACCTATATATGTGGCTATGATTTCTCAGTGAGTACCACTTTTGTTGGTTGTCACCTTCATTTACATTTGGAACTTACTGAATGTTGACAGCCAAGAAATTCCCATTATCATGAGAAAATGAAAGTTTTATTTAAGATATGCATCCAGTGACAGTCTCTTTCCACAACACTTGTTCTCTGCTTGTAATCTACACTCTGTATGTATGTATAAATCCCAAGTGAAACAAGTGCATACATTATAAAGAGAAAGAACCTTAGTGTAATGGTGAGTTTCAACTCATTTTTCACAAGTACTAGTATGTGGTAAATGTTTATTCTCAATTAAATTGAGATAATAAATCATGTTATATTTTCTGTAATGAGAGATTTAACTTAAACAAGTGTGAGATATTTTATGTAGGCCTAATAGTTACAAGTACCCTTTTCATTATGGAATTAGGCATATAGAGAGTGTTCATTTGACAAAATCTACTATTAACTCGGAAGCTCTGATATAAAGTTGTGCTCATGACCACCATCACCCCCTGGAGGTTCAATTTGGAGGAGGAATCATTCTGAAAACTTGTATCTTTAATTAACTTACATCCTGGTAGGTTATTGTTGAAAACTACTCACCAGATTTCAACCAAATTTTAACCAAAGGTAACCCTAGACCATCCTCATATAACTGGTGCTCCAGAGCTTGATTTTTGTATTTGCCTTTTAGTTATAAAGGGAATTTGGGGGGAAAATTAGCCTCATTTATATTATTGGGTCAAAATGAGATGACATTATACAAACATGATCCTTATGGGGGTCAATCCTATGACTCCTTTGTATTCCCTTCTGATAGTTATTTTGAGGACTACAAGTAAGTTGTGATGATATTTTAAACACCAGAGTCTAATCAATTTGGCCATAAAATAATTGAAATTATTGTAACTATGTGTTAGTCACTGTCAAGTTGAGCACAAGGTCTATACACATCTAGTTTCACTTAGGTATCCTACATAAAACAGGATTTGTTAAAAACTATCCTTTCAAACAAGTACTGAAAAACTGATGTAGATGTATTATTCTTTCTAAAGAAAGAATCTTCACAATTGTTAGATATGGGAAATTTAAGTATTCAGTTGGAGCAAATGCTTTATATTTCATAAGTGTTCCCTTCAGAACTTATGTTTGTCTTAAACATTCCTAGGAAATCATATGTGAGGTTTCAGAATATCTTCTTAGACTGGCCCTCGAGTCATGGTCTTTCAAAGATCCTAGTAAATATAGGCTAAACTTATGTGTTTATCAAAGTGTACTTCTTCACTTCAGCAGACCTTGTAACTATTGGCAAGGATTAAAAGTATAATTTAGGTACTAACAGTCAATGTGAAGATGTAAACGAAGTTATTATGGCACTACATTGTCATATCCATTTTAGATCCAAGTGGTACCCAACAAGCCAAAACATGTCAGATCAAAGTGGTACTGGTTCTTCTTGTGAACTACTTTACAGACCAAAACATGTCAGATCAAAGTGGTGCTGGTTATTCTTGTGAACTACTTTACAGACCAAAACATGTCAGATCAAAGTGGTACAGGTTCTTATTGTGAACAACTGTACAGACCAAAACATGTCAGATCAAAGTGGTACTGGTTCTACTTGTGAGCCTCTTTACATATCAAAACTTTGATCTGACATGTTTTGGTATGTAAAGTAATTCACAAGAAGAACCAGCACCATTTAGATCTGACATGTTTTGGTCTGTAAAGTTGTTCACAAGAAGAACTAATATCACTTTGATCTGACATGTGGTACTGGTTCTTATTGTGAGCCTCTTTACATATCAAAACATGTCAGATCAAAGTGGTACTGGTTATTCTTGTGAACTACTTTACAGACCAAAACATGTCAGATCAAAATGGTACAGGTTCTTATTGTGAACAACTTTACAGACCAAAACATGTCAGATCAAAGTGGTACTGGTTCTACTTGTGAGCCTCTTTACATATCAAAACATGTCAGATCAAAGTGATATTAGTTCTTCTTGTGAACAACTTTACAGACCAAAACATGTCAGATCTAAATGGTGCTGGTTCTTCTTGTGAACATCTTTACAGACCAAAACATGTCAGATCAAAGTGGTACAGGTTCTTCTTGTGAACATCTTTACAGACCAAAACATGTCAGATCAAAGTGGTATTGACTCTTCTTGTGAACAACTTTACAGACCAAAACAAAGAACTTTAAAGGCTTTTAGTAGAGAACAGTACAACACAATAGTTCAATTGGTCATTGGATCATTGACAAAAAACTACAGAACAGAAATATATTCTACAGTAATATTACACATCAAAGCACAATCCTGATGTGCAGCATGACAACTTGCTGTACAAAGGAAATCAAGTTGTAGTTTAATAGTCATATAGTAGTGAAAGCAATTAAATGCTGTGGTGCTTGAACACTAATGTACTCTTTTTCCTTTAAAGATACAAGTATAAGTGAGGATTGTATAGCAGGAGTGCTGCAGAAAAATATTAAACATTAGCCAATGTTTACAAGTAAATTGATTTTAAAATCTGTTACCCCAAAAATAGTTAGAGGGCATTGGCAAATTGGTATGTTAAAAATGGGGACAGATGCTGTTTTTTTTCAGAAAGCATCACTAATATGTAAAACTTTTGTAGTATTTTCAAGATATATGATCTTAAGGGAATTTGCTGGGATATTCCTTGAACACTGTTGCTCCGTTACATAAAGTGTGACAATGGCAACAAATTTAAAGATGTTGAGAAAATACTGTAAAGAAAAGTTGTGTAAAACGTAAGGAGCACTACCATCCCTAATCACAGAGTAAGATGGAATGATCACACATTACACTGAGGCAAAAAATATTACACACTGAGTCATAAAAAAAAAGAGTTGTGACAGGATTGAGGCAACACAAGAAACACAAGGGCTTCAAGGTAAAAGAAAAATATACTGCATCTATGAACAATGTTAGAGAAAGAGTAAGTAAAATATCTTCCAGTATAAACAGATGTTACTATGTGAATATGGTACATTTTGCTTGCTGTTGTTTTACAGCTAACATCAAAACAGGGAGTCAGAGCAAATTTAAGAAATTGAAAGGGCAAAAACACACACAATGTGAATAAATGTGAGCAACATGACCAACATTAAGCATAAGCATCAGAAATGTATAAGCATAATCTTAGAAAAATGATAAAGACAGGGTGGAAAACCATGTCATATTCCATGACGGAAGCTTTCAAACCATAACGGGTTTATCTAGTGACAGACTTCCACCTTTTATTACCAGTTATCAATGTCAGGTATTTACAATATGGTAGAAGCTCTTCATGAAGATGCAGTCAGGCATTTATCTATGTACAAATGTATGTATAAAGTTTCCTGACTAGAAACTTTTAATCTCACATACATTCAATGAAACATACAAAGATAATCTGATCTTCTTAGCTTTCTTATGCTTAGAGTATTACCTCTAAATAGTTATAGTATCTACAAATAAATTTGACCATTTACAAATCAAAACTTAAACTGGATGTTTTGAAAATGATTGGTTATTATTTTTTTTGAAAACCAAGGTGATGTACATGTACACATACTGTGAAATGTTTTACCTGACCTTATCAGTTCACTATAAAATAAGGAAAGTCTTTGTCCAGAATACTAGACAGTCATAATTAAGGCCATAGATGAGCCAAGGAATGACACAAGCTTAAAGCAGATGAACAGAAAAACAAGGAAGGACTGGGTAATGAACAAAACAATAGTGACAACAATCTTGCTTTGCCAAGAAGTCAATACAGTGATAAAGAATACTACAGAATAGGCAATGAATGTTACAGATTTAGTGCAGAAGAAAAGAAATTGTAATTTTTCTCAAAAGAAATCTAAAGTATCATTTAAGTGTATCTGCACATAGATCCACGTTCCAGATACACCTTACAACATGTCAATTTTTTTTTTCAGATCTGTTGTTTAAAAGATTCTCACCTTTGCATTCACATAACTTCTCTCATTTGCCATATATTCCACGACCTATCAGTTCACGGAGAATAATTAGAACCCTGAGAAGTCATAATGGCTTGGTTAGGTTCATATGTTAGATTATCAACAACAGTAGATGGATTAATTCACTGTTTTTTGCAAGA